GGGCCCACTGAGAGGCACAGTATGGTGTAAATTGTATTCTTAATCAGAATATGCCATCTTACTGGATTTCCAAGATCAAAAAGAAAAGAATTTGCTAAAGAAATAGCCAGACTGTACGGTGCACAATTTTTGTCTCTTCCTCAAAATTTTTGTCTCTTTCCTTTACCAAAGATGCCTTTTCCTTATGTTTAGAGCACTTTACAGTGGAGAAGAGAGTTTTAAGAGGGAAATTGGCAGAAGAGAAAAAAGAGAGAGAGATGAAGAAAGCTCTGTAGTATTGAAACAATGGCATTATGCTAGAATCCCTATATAAAGTAAACGTGCAGTTTAAATTATATATTGTATGGGTAAAACTGTCATATAACACAGAAGAAAAGGAGGTGGCCCGTCACTGCCTTGAAAATATAAAAATAAAATATATTTATTTGGAAAATGATAATACTATCCAGATTTGACCATAGGTACTTTTCTATTTGCCTATGAAATCACCTTAAATTTTCTGTTTTGGGGGACAAGAAGAGAAAATTATAATGGTCCCCCTCTCTTTACTAGAGACTATCATAAAAAGATATAATACTTATATAAAATGGTACTCCAACCAAGACAACGTAAAATCAAATATCTTACTCTTATCAGAGGCACCTGAAATATTCTACATAACATCTTACTTTTAAGGGACTTTTCTGACTGCCTCTGAAGGACAGTTACCTCTGAAAGCAATTTAATATTTTGGCAGTTGGAGGACATATTAACTACCATTATCACTACCTATTTATGCCTAAGTCTAAAAGTTCAAAAAATAGGCAAATTCACCCAGAATTAGTAGATTTGGAAAGTTGATTTAGTGGTTTCATATTTACTGTTTTCTGAACATAGCTTAGACATCAATAACATAGACTAATAATAAATGTAGACAAATAAAAGTACCACTTCCTCACTCCTGCCTTGCTTACACATTTGTCAGTAAAAAAAAATTTTCTTCGTACCAGGTATCTGGCAGATTTTGAGAAAAATAAAGGCCCCTAGTGTAAAATACAAGAATTTCTGACAACTAGTAGATAAAGTCATATTTATTGAAGATAATTTCTCTCTTAGCATGAGGTCAATAGACTTAATGAAAAATTTTCATGATATAAAATATTAAAATATACTAGTTATGACATCCTAAAAATTTGTGTGCACTGTATTACAGAATAAAAGGCTTGTTTCCAGATGCTGCAACTATAGTTTTATCCATTTCAATGGTTCTCCAAATCAGGCAACAAAAGTACAATAGAATAAGAAAAAGAAAGATTCTACAGCTAGAGGAAATTTTCACATCTATGTATTACAGAAGCATTAAAGTATATAATTACCAGAGGTTAAGCAGATTAAAAAACAATTCTTGTGTTCTTTCTATTATATGTGCTCTATGGCCTATTCCTATGGTGAATTAGCACATTCTTCTGGAAAGCACATAATGAATTGAGAGTATGCCTGATGTTCATTCTTTTAGCAAATTTACTGGGTAACAACTATATTGCAACCTCTGTTCTAAACACTTCCTTATAACAGGATAAACAAATCCCTGTTGTTATGCTCCAGTGGAACAAGACAGAAAATAAACAAATAATAAACTGATATTTAGCATGCTCACTCACTAGCTATGACAAGATTCAAAGTGTGAGCATAAGAATAAGTAACATGAAGTGGAGGAAAAGATCATCTATTAGGAAGAAAATCAGAAGCTAGGCTATGGGAGGGGCATCGGTCTAAGTAGAAGGCCAATTATAGAACATAACCATTCATCCAAATGGTTATTGGCATCCAAATGGATGAGATATTTGTTCGTAATTATAGTAAGAGTTCAGATGAAGGGGAAGATTGTCAACAAGACAATAAGAATGTCCATACAGTTAGAAGATGATTGCTGTACTAGAAAAAGAAAAGGATGATACAGCTAGAGGTCATATCTTCAAAGTAAGAGTTTTGATTTGTTGGTATTTGGGGAGAATTGTTGGCTCATCTTTTTTACACAAGGTTTTACCAACCGTGAATATGGTGATGCAAAGTGAAAATAAAAACCCCAGGCTCATCCACACTCCTGACACTGACATCTTTGGCATTAGAATAAGCAGCCCCACTTAAGCAGACTGCAAGGAAAATAAATCCTCAGAGGCCTATCTGATTCAAGTGTAATGTGATAGAGTAGGTTTCTCTTGACCAGGTAGGACATGTTGGTCTAGAGCTTCCATCTTCTGAGTGTATACTTAGCAAACACAGCATCGAACACATGATTATAAGGATCTTAAGGCAGAAGTATGGAAAACAAATAGCAACTAACCCCTCCCACTGCACACCACACCCCTCCTACTGCAACCCCAGCTGAGCAAATCACTCATTATTAAGAGCACAATAATTGCCAAAATTTATCAGATCTAGCTAACAATATTACCTAACTGTGGTGGCAAAATATTTGCTCTAGAACAACAACAACAACAAAATGGTTGTCCAACTCTTTGGTTTCCCTTATATTTGCCTCTTTTTCTATCATTGCTCTGAAAAGCATCTGAAAAGCCCATTCATTACAGATTATACAAAGCAATACAGTCATCCCCTCCTATTCATGGGATATACATTCCAAGAACTCCAGCACATGTCTGAAACCTAGGATAGTATTGAACCCTATATATACTATGTTTTTTTTTCCCTATATGTACATACCTACAATAAATTTTAATCTATGAATTAAGAGGTTAACAATAACACGTAATAAAATTGAACAATTATAACAATATACTGTAATAAAGTTATGTGAATGTGGTCTCCACACTCAAAACATTGTTTTGTACCTGTACTCACCCTTCTTTTTGTGATAATGTGAGATGATAAAATACTAAAACTATTCCTGAATCTGTGTAACCATCCCTTATAGTAAATGGCTTGATGTCACTCATTTTAGGAGAACCCTTGATGAAGTCTTCATTTAGGCTCGATGCTTTTTGGTATAACACATCGCCCTCAATCAGAACAAGTTTCTTGTTCATGTCATCCACCCACGAATTTAATGCCTTTTTCATCTTAATCAAGCACTTAATCACACACTGTGGCCATAACTAACACAAATTTCTTTTTTCCTTCTTCACAATTTCACAGATAGAAAATTTGTTCGTATCATAGAGCTTAGCAACCTCAGCAGAGGATTTTTTTTTTTCTTATTAAGTTGAGAATTTTCATCTTTCCACTTAAAGGAAGCACTTTACAGCTTCTCTTTGGCATGTCCAAATTTTGCGCTTTGGAGCCCCTCAGTAAAATAAGGGTTACTTGAACACAAGCACTGCAATGCCATGCCATGACAGTTGATCTAATAACCAAGATAGCTACTAAGTGACTAAGGGTCAAGGAGCACACAGCGTGGATATTTTGGACAAAGGCATGACTCACATCGAGCGTGAGATGGAGTGGGACTTGCAAGATTTTGTTACGCTACTCAGAATAGTGTGCAATTTAAGACTTATGAATTGTTTACTTCTGGAATTTTTCATTTAATATTTTCTGACTGTAGTTGACTTTAGGTAACTGAAACCACAAAAAGAAAAAACCACGGATAAGTGGGATGACTATACTTTTCTTTATGTCAAATACCTTATTTAAGCTTTAAAATATTTGATATTATTAAATTTTAGTTTATATTATGTTTGAATGCACTGAAAGATGCATAGAATTTTACTAAGAAGTGATGCATAAGTCAGATTGTTCCAAGGAAGAGTTCTATGCACTAGAAAATTCACTAGGATTGTCACCACAAAGTGTGGGGAAGAGAAGATGGTAATTCACACATTGTCTATTAAAAATAAATCAAGTGGCTAATTGACGCTACAAAATAAGTATTGTTAATTTTTATGTACGGTAATGGTCGGGTTATATTTTTTAATAGTCCTTATAATTCAGAAATATGCTAATTAATTTTTTAACAAAATGATATGATGTCTGGACTACATTTAAGCTAATTCAAGGTGGAAAGGAGGGTACAGATAAAACAAGATTGTCTACATGTTGACAATAGTTGAGGCTGAGTACATAAGAGTTTATTATACTTTCTTTGTATTTTTGTATATGTTTGAAATTTTTCATAACAAATTTAAACAGACAAAATATATGTAATAAACTCTTTCTGTGATCATGGATGAAACACGCTGTCCCTGACATGGTCTGTACAGAACCAGTGTTAGCTTAGTTCCACTTTCCTCTTCTGTTCTATACATTAGAATATAAAATTTGAATCTCTTATAAATATACATGATTTCTTTTCCCTTTTCCTGATTTTTATTATCTTTTCTTGGTGTGCTACAGGAATTTTTTTGTAAGGAAACTGTACCTTTTCCAAACACGATAGGATTATAAAATGAATTTCTGTGGTGTGACAAAATTTTCCAAACATTTTTTTTGGAAAGATGGTTGAAAAGCTCTTTCCTTCACCGCCAAATTACTCCGTTGCCCATCAGTTTTCCAAAAATTCCCCAAATTCATAATTTTTCTTCTGTCCCCTGTGTTTCAAACCACTAGAGTGGGAAAGAAATCTAGAGTGAGGTTTATAGTAGCTCTAGCTCATTTCTTCCTAAACAGCTGCGTACCTACACACACCTACACACACGCACACACACATACACACACACACACACCCCCTACAGCTATGTCCAGATTTGAATGTTGCAGGGCTGACAATTGCTTCTGACAAGCTCCACTGGGGCAGCTAAGCAAGGAGAGAGAAAAAGCAACGAGGTAAAAGAGCCTGAATTTGTTGTCTTCCTCTCTCTCCCCCTCCTCTCCCTCGTTCGCAGATCTCTCTCCCCGACCCATTCCGCCCCACCCCCACTCCTGCCACCTAAATTGCATTTCTACTCTTCCTCTCCTCTTCATTTCTTCAAGCCCTGGTCCTCTCCCTGCTCCACCTCCTCACCAGTCCCGCTCTTCTCGCCCCTTCCCCTCCCAAGCAGCTGGTGGAAAAGACGTCGCAGCTGCGGCGGTTCTTGCTGCTGCATCCGCTGCTGCTGGTTGCTGTCATCACCCGCCCACGCCTGGTCTGGTTGAAGTCGCGCAAAGGCCTGGAGATGAGGGCGGGGGAGAGGGTGATGTGGCTAAGAGAGGGGAGGGAATAGTGGGCAAGACACAGCTTCCAGGCGGCAGGCGCAGCATCACTGCGCATCTGGCAGGAGGGGTCTCTGGGTCAGTGGCTGGGCAGCAGCCGCAGTGACTCGGTTTCTACCTGGCAGTTCGGTGGAGCCGCTTACTACCGAGCCATCGTGGCCTGGGTAGCATCAACTGGTGAGGGCGAATGCGAACCTCGCAACACTTCTAAGCAAGCAGAGCCCAGGAAACCAGAGAGATACGAAAGAAAGAGAAGCCCGGGAAGAGAAAAGGGCTCCGGCAGGAGCCCAGCTTCTCCGGGTTCCCTAAGGGGCTGGTGGAGACTCATTACGTGGTACCAAGTAAGTGTTTGTTTGTTTGTTTCTTGCTGTGTGCCCAGTCCCAGGATGGTGATAGCCACGATCTGCTGCCACCCCATACATCCACCCCCCACTAGCCCCACCCCATACACACACCTAGGTCCCCAGCAGATTAAGATTCTGTGTATGAATTAAGAGAGCTACTTTCAAGAGCTGCAGTGGCCTGGGGGTGTTTGCTCTGCATTTTATGCGTGCAGTTTTCTCATCCGATCAGGTAAGCTTCTGAAATCCAGACTTTCTGTTAGTGTAAAATTTCTAGAAACCCTATATAGCCATGGTTTTTAGGTTATATGACACAAAGAATAGAAGGTATAAATATTTATGCAGAATGACGTATACTTCTAAGGAATCTTGTTTCTTATTCTAAGTAACAATGATTTCAAGATTGGTGCTTTTCATGTAAGAATTGACAGTATAAAATTAGAGGCACAGATGTGGTGGGAAATGGTGTGTCTAGTTTAAACAACTGGGCATTTTGGATCAACAGGTTGGTTTTTTGTTGTTTGTTTGTGTTTTACTGTTTAGCTCTGTAAAATGCACACCTGCTAGAGGTTTTCTTTTTAAGAGGTGATGATGTATGCATTGCGACTCTGGTTTTATGCTGCCTCCAATACTTAGGTTGAAGCAGGACAAATGATGAATGAATAACAGGTGAAATGACACATTGATGGGCTCCCTTTATTAATGTAAATGATAGAGGCAAATTTGGATATTGGTCAGAAAAATCTCTTGAAATGGGAAGGAATTTGAGTGGTGCTTTTTGTGGATATTTTTTCTTCCTATCATTCAGGAGAGTCTTTTATGGCAAAAACAAAAGCAAGCTAGGCCCTTTAATAATATGGTCCTGAGCACCATACCTGTTATGACGAGCCCTAATTAAAGTTACGTAAAGCAGATAAGGCCCGTAAGGAATAATTAGCTAGCAATTACCTAGCTAATCAATGATGAACTGAAAATCTAATGAAGAAGATTGGGATTTAGAGTATAACTTGATTTCTATTTTAGTGAAAATGAAGCAAATTTTTTAACCTTTGACTAAGGATTTTTGTTCTTATTTGTAAATGACATATCAAAAATATATTCTGGTGAGGACTAAATGACAGAAATTACATGAAGGTTCGTGTGGAGGTAATATCATATGTATCTGTTGCTTGCATAAGGAATTGTTATGTTTTTTTATCCATTTCACTATTCCAGTTCTCTTTTTGTCTAGTTAAATATATAAATAAAATGAGCTTTGACATGTCTCACTAGAATGCACTAGAAGAAGTGAAATTCAAATGCACATCATGATCTCTTGCCACCTGTACAGTTTAAAGTGTTATTCTAACCTGTGAGCCTCCATCTTCACAAAATTGTGTGCTTTGGCTAACAATTCATATTTGAACATGTTTGAATACTGTCAAAATATGTTTTACCCTCTTTCTCTTTTTAATTTTAAATTTTATTTCAGGTATGTGGTCTTCCTTGGGATGAAACCATCAAGTATATTGGATATTGCTGAATTTATTTGGTTCATTATTAATATAGAGGAATCAAAGTTTAGGCATAAATGCTCTACTCTTGATTTCTAGGATTCATTAAACCCCTGCACTCAGGGGAGAGGTACTGTGAACCCTTTCTTTCCCATCGATGTGTTTAAAAACAATAGAAGAAAAACCTAAAATTGGATGTAGGATCAGGAAAAGCAGAACAACAGATTCCATGCGACATAGGCAGGCCCCAGGATCTGCTGCTGCATTATCAGTCTCTGTGAGAGAGTGGGCAGTAAAGCCAATCACGTAGGAACTGGGCATTGTGTCTCACAGCCTCCTGCGGGAGAAGCTCTGCTAGGGTATTTGATATATACTACCATAAATTTTGACCGGAGAGGATAAATGCAGTTCTAAAGCACACTGGAAATAAAAACAACAGTATTTTGCTCAATCCCTTACTTAGTGAAAGAGTATCCTACTGTACCCCAGCCCTAGATCTCATTATGACAGGATCTGTATCACAACTGGGACTCTAAGACTGACCCATAATCCTATCCCTACCACTGTAGACTGTCTCTTGAAAGCTTATGGTGAGGGTGTTAGCATAAAAAGGATGTTCTTGATTTCTGGGAGTCTGGCTCCTTTATTTCCACTAGTCAATATCAAGATTGGTCAATTGTGAGAGGACATCTGTAAACCTTGCCCACCTTGACTAGCTATCAGCAATGAACAGTCACCTACCATCCTATGACACTAACTTGTATAGACAGATCTCATTTTTCCCTGAGTTGGTTCCCTTCTCTTCTATTCATGTGGGCTACCCAAGGCCAGGTAAGCAAGTTCTTGCCTCTACAATGCTGAAAGAGGGAACCTTTAGGGCTAAAGAGAAAATTTTCATCCGATCGCTTCTAGGGTTGTTTTTCAGCTGATCCATATCTCTTGGCCCAGCTGAGATCATGATTTCCATGTATTTATTCAATTGTTGCTATCTATAAACCAGGCTTATTCTGGTTATACTCCACATTGATGGGGAAACCCCAATTTGTCTGGAAACAGATATTCCTGTTGTATCCACAGTATTTCTGTCTGAATTGACTTGGCCTGCTGCTGGCTGAGGATAACCAGCCTCTGTGGTGGCAGCCAGGTGCCAAACTGACTGTACCAGGATCAAACAAGAGCATGATGAAAATGCTGAAGCTAGGGCTCTGCCCAGGGAATTTCTGCTTTTCAAAATCTAAAATTAGGACAGACACTTGGTTTTTAGCTGGAACATCAAATGATGCTGATTTGGGGGCCATAGTCCCTGGTTAAATATATGGTGTTGAATGGACTAATCTTCTCTTCTGCTTTAAATGCCAGAGTGAGGCTCTCAATCCACCAGCCCTTTGCTGTCTGAGTTCTCTCAGAGGCTGCATGGTCTAAGCACCTGATTACAGACTACTACTTTGGCTCTGGTCCATATCTAGTCTTGCTCTAATATGTTTCAAGTTTCCTCTCAAATTTGAGAAGTGGTTAAATATCCATATGTTTAGTTCCACATTCAAAAAGCTAGAGTAGTTTGGAGGATGGAAGTAGATCCTGGGAAAGCAGACCAGCTCTTTGAGAGCGAACAAGAGCAAAGGTAAATAGCCAGCTTTAGGAGGCCTTCAGGGTTCCAGTGAATATGCCTATTCTGGATTTGTGTGTGTGTGTTCCACAGATCCAGTGGCGCCTAAAACCATAGGACAAAAGGTCTCAGGGTTGAGTATAGAAGTTACATGCATAACAAGCTCTCCTTTGTATTACTCTAGCAGGGGCAACAATACATTCTTCCCTATTGAGCTCTTAAATGGCCTCTGGCAAGATTTCTCTTGTCGAGGGTCTGACTGACTAGGGTCACAGAACAGTCAGTTCCGGAAAGAGTCTAGGCTTTCCCCAATATGCTTGTTTTGTTGGGCTGGATAGGCACAGCTTGGAAATTATCGTCATATTCATAGAAACAAGGGACCCTGCTATTGAACCATAGTTTGCCATAGGGAAGCTCAAGTGGCATCTTAAAACCGAGGCAGCTTTTCTTCATGTTCCTGGAACCCTCTTCCTGCCCCATTGCCTTGCTGGTCATAATGGCTCACCCTGGTGAGACTCTGTCTCCCACAGAGACTTACAGTCCTTCATCCCCTCAAGGCATTTAAACAACTACTGAGCTTTCCTTGGGCTCATTCTTGTAAGAGAATTTGAGACTAGGTGCTAAGATTTTGTCACATGACACTTTTGTCCAATGGGTTATACCACTCTGAATGTGTATGATCTGGACTCCTCCTTTCTGGAATAAAGACATTTGCAAAGACCTCAGCTCCTGATTATTTTAAATCATCAGTAGAATCCAAGTTTACCAATTTTCGAAGAGAGTTCAGTTCTCAAAAGAAGACTTTTTATTTAGAGAGAGATGGGACCTGTCTCTTTGACTTTTGCTGGTACTCGCTTATTTACAAGGCTGTTTTCCTAGTTTCGAATCCAGAAGAATATTTGAATTAAAATTCTTTAGAAATATAACAAAGACAAAATGACAATGCATACTTATGTTTTTAAGAAAATTACTTATTTATAATTTTCTTCTGCAAAATGGCATATTCTAGGAATGTGTTGACTAAAACTGTGAGTAAGGAAGTTGAGTCCAGAATTAAGTGGATATATTGAAGCCAAAATAGACTGACTTGGGAGCAAAAACAGCTGCAGGCAGAACATGGTTCAAGGACAAAGGGGAAAAAGTCAATTAAGGCAGGGGAGATAAACTGTATGCCAGGAAGAATTAAAGAGTAAGAGTCAGAGAATCAAAGTTAAACAGGAAGTAATTAGCTCAAGTGGAAAAATAATTTAAAAACAGGAAACCAAATAGGTTGAAATCAAGGGGAATAGACAGCTGAAAAATTCCAGGTGGACGGATGCCATTCTGGTCAATCTGTCCTTTATTCGCAAGCCTTCAGTGTGTAAGCTTTCCTTTTCTGGATTTTAGCAATACATACATGGTAAATTATATTTAAGTCATTTAGAAATAATAACTAGAAAGCAAAAGAATCCCCTGACACCTTTTCAGTTCCTCTCCATGGATATAGCAGTTTAGTTCCTTCCAGGGTGGAAACATTATGCGGTGCTAGCATATCTAACACTATGTATATAATCCTTACAAAACATTTTATTCAAAGGTAAGCAATTCAACATCACAATTCTTAACATTACTTTTTTTTCACAAAATAATTTATTTTGGGAATCTTTCCATATGAACACAGGCAGATCTCATTCTTTATGATTACTAAACAGTGTTTCATGATAATAACCTCCTGGAATTTATAGTGTTATCTCCTTACGGTAGACACTTTGATTGTTTTCAGTCTTTGAAATTAGAAGTATGTTGTGATTAACATCTTTGCAAACATGACTTCTCAGACTTCAGCTAGAGTGTTCATAGAGTAGTTTGGTTTGGGGGTCAAACAGTACATGCAACTTTGTTTTAGAAACTATTGCCAAGCG